TTGAGCATATGCCCTCCTTAGCAGATAGAGCTTTCAGCTAAATATAGCACTTTGTGTGTTGTGAGAGGGGTGGCGAAATTGATTGTGCCCTACCCCTTCATTACAGTTAAACAAGGATAAGAAATACTCCATGTATTAATACGCGATTTACATAGGTGCAAGGAGCCAGAAAAAGATTTAGAATGGAGCGCTTAAAACTTATCGATATACTGCAATTTTTAAAGATGAATTACATGTATAATAATACGCGTAAACCTTTCCCCCTTCATACGGTAAGCCCCTATCTGCACACTTCCAAGGCCTTGGCATAAGGTGTGTAGTATTTGGAAATATTTGATTTTTAATCATCAAAGTGTGTATTTTCAACTTTTTTTTCAAGGGGGGGGGGGCAAAATAGTGAGTGTAATTGTCCTGTCTTGAAGTTTGTGAAGTTTTGTTTATTCCACATTTTACATAAAACAACAGTGTATATTCTTTTTTATTTTTGTTTGTACAAGCGTATATTATATAAGAGTAGATTTCACACAAGAAAAAAAATGTACGAGAAAAACAAGTTCCTACCTCCTTTTGTAAAGATTAGCACTTGCCCCGAATTTTGACTTTGGGGCCTGTTGAGACAGGGTTTATAAAGTACACGCAGTACTGCATCACTTGGTTTGCGAGGGAGTGTAGTGACCGAATATTTAGAATGTTAATATTTTACATTATAGAGCCAAAAAAGGCATTAGTGTTATATACACCAATGTCATCTAACAACATTTCTTTCTGTCTTGCGAAGGTGCTCATTGAGGGGGTCAAAATTGATTATTAGTACTTGAAACAAAGAGAGAAAGAAACAAAAAGTCAGATAATTGCATGTTGAAGCGTTGTATTTTCACAGTAATAAAATATATTCGTTATCCTACAAGAGGGGCAGAAACGAATTAGCCGTCCCCTTAGTCATGTTTAATGGCCCTCGCATTTAACGCCTCTGAAAGACAGGGTATATGCAACATACGCCTATCATTTCAGTTGTTGTTGTTGTGCGTGTGTAATGTTAAGGATCGTAGCATCCATTTAATACGGAAAGAAGGGTGGAACTGCATTTCAGACCTGTTATAACTGAAAGCTTTACCAAACATTATTTATTGTCATTTAGGTGCAAGAAGTATTTCCCCATCCATTGATAAATGGAAGCACCTGCCCACTCATCCAATGCCTATTGTACACAGAATATTTACGGTGCTGAGAAACATTGCATCTTCAAACATTCGATGGAGCGTACCCACGGAGCGAGAACAATTTCATTGTGATATGCTTAAGGTTTGCGTATAGGTTTAACGTCTTAGAACACAATGAACAATTATTATAAGTGTAGGGTATAACAAATACATACACGTTATCTTCTTTGAGGTGGCATTTGGTGGGGGTGGGTTGCAGAATCATGTTAATATCATTAAAAATAAATGTATGCAATTTATATTTTTTGATGTACATGCATTTTCTACAACTTCCTCTTATACTTTTTTCTTCATGTTTCTCCTCTCCGTTTTCCTGACTTCATGTTATATTCTGTTTTCTTATTTTTGCTGCCCAAGCAATCGTATCTTAGTAACTATATATGCATGTATTTCAATATTTACAAATTAATTGTAACTGTATTTTATGTTTGAAATATGCAATGAGTGTTTTATTTGTACACATGATCAATTCAGCCATTGGGCTACGACACATGCTTTTTCAATAAACCTTGGTTCAATTCAATTCAATTCAATCACTAACCTTCAACCATCACCACGTGAATAATAACGATTCTGAATCGGTGTATTTTCTTATTTTTATTTTCAGACCGCTTTATATTGAATCTTACCAAGAGTTGATCGAGATAGTAAAGAGGAATACAGGTGAGTTTGCCACTAATCCTTAATGGTAGGTAGGATCATAAAGTGAAGACATAATATGAAGGTTTATCTTTAAACAATTTTGAATTAATACAATTTGCACTGTTGATACACACAGTATACACCACAAGGCGTTGATTTACACCACCGTATTAGTTAAAAGAATGATTAATTAAATAAAATAATGTTACTAGCCAAAATGCTATAACGCATGAATCATTATGTAGGTTGTTTAACTTTGTTTACGTATATGGTGTTTTGTGTAATTTACACTGTTATTAAATGTGTAGGTATCTAACAATAATGACCCCTGCTACACAATAATGTTTCATCAGTAATGAATGGAACATGACAGAAACGAGAAACGTATTATTCAATTTATATCATAATCAAATTTCTGCAAGCAATTTCTTTTTGTTAATCATTATTCACATATTTAAAAAACAGGGTAGCTCATTCACAATCGTGTTCAACCATGAAGCCCTGTACATAAACAGAGAGAAAGAAAGAAATTAAGGATATACATCAAAAACATGGCCTATCCACATATACACAATGAAGTCAAATTTAAGAAAGTTGGGACATACATACAATAAATGAAGTATCTAGTATCAAGTATCAAGTTTATTTGTCTTCCAGAAAACACATGTGACAAAGTATAATCATATTACAGTACAATGTAGAATAAAGAAAGACGAGGAGACCTTGGTTGAAGCACAGCTTCTTAAGTTAAGGCCCCCCCCCCCCATATGGTGTGACAAAGATAACTGATTCATGAATACAACAACAAATATGGAATATAAACTATTCACAAAGTACTCTCAGAAAACAACTACCCAACGATACATCGACCACAGCATGGATGACCACAACAAGTATACCCGAATATGCGCACATTCCCATCACACCGGGTGAGCTAACAAACTCACCGGCCCGAATTCACAAAGGAGGTTTGTCGACAAACCTAGGTTTATGTACGTCATATAACGCGCTGTGATGCGTTTTTTTTACAAGCCAGGGGGTTAACCTAAGTTAAATCTAAGTTGGACTTAAATTTTATGGAAAGCCATTTGTAGCCTTAAAATGAAATATATTTAAAAGCAAAAATTCAAGTAATTTAGACTTTTTATAAATTCCACATCAAGAACATGAAATCTCCTTGATAATAGAAAATATGAACGATTTTCATTAACATTTCATGCCTTTTAAAATAACCTTTACAAAATATTTGCATAGATGTTAACGGCTTTCCATAATGTCCAACTTAGAGATAAGTTCAACTTAGGATCTTTGTGAAACACCCCCTGGTTTCTAAAAACGCGTCGAAACGCGTCGAAACGCGTCATATGACGCACGAAAACCTAGGTTTGTCGACAAACCTCCATTGTGAATTCGGGCCACCGTGTGTGTTAAAATATATGTCATATGAGCACAAACAACCCACCCATGGGAGGGCGATGTAATATGGACAAACCCAAGCTGACACCAAATCGAGACATCAATGAGCTAATGCTCTCTGAGTGCAGAGGTTAAGTAGGAATATATGGTATATGTACATATGGGAAAGAAGAAGAAAAAGAAAAGGGATCAAAGGGATTATGTCAAAGTCAAGAAATAACGAAAAATAGATCGAGAGTAGAGTTAAATAATTATGCTACAGTACATGATTTGACCTTGAAATCAAGTATTTATCTAAGTTTTCTATATTATCCGTATTAATTACACACTCTTGATTCTGATCACGTTGATATCGTACACTCTTACAAGCCCCCTTTCCGTTCATTTTGTAAATTATATACGTTTTCCTTTCTTCGTAAATTGCATGTTACTTACCTCTACTTGTGTAGGTCTGTGTTAATATGTATGATAGGCCGATGTGATAACACTAGTTTCCCATTAATTTGATTATCATAACATCCATCGAAATGCTTGAACAAAATTCTTTTTTTTTCTATTAGAGTTAATATGCATGCTCATATCATTTCATATCCTCGGTTGGTAACCAATCGAATAATCACGGTGATTTTATAAGATTTGGGATTTTGAGACCATCCTGTAAATTCATTTGAAACATGGCATGGTGTGTACTATGTACCATTCCCCCAACATCTACCCGCTCCCGTGTTGACATGGTTGACCTTAATCATCTGAACATGGATCTACGTGAGACATACGGCCATGATCTGACGATCCACAGTCAACAATTCAAACATAAATAATATATCTGAAACGACTTTGACATCATATTTGGATGAAACATAAATTAGGCATAAAATAGAAATATACCTTCCACTTATCTGCTTGTATATTATTTCATGCAATTTGGTGTTTAATATCCATTTTCCTTGTACTGGATACAGGTTTCTAACTTTGAGCCGAGGCATGGGGGGGGATAAAAGTTAAATATAATTGTGGCAATGCTTACACCAATACCGATATTATTTGAATGAGCCATTTTTGGTCTTGATTTCATTCATTTATTTATCAATTAATTTTCACTAACTACCGATCTTTAGATTTCCCAATCATGTTTCAACCTTTTTTCCGTTGAAGTTGTAGTATTTAAACAATATCATAACAACATCATCAGTCTACTATAACATGATTGTCCCGACTAATTTTCCTACCACAAGTATATTACATTTCATTTACATCATCTTTTCTCACTTCATTTACTCCCTATACCGGCTCCTCTTCAGTCTCCTTCCCTTATCACCCTTATTTCTCTCTCCCCCTCCCTACGTTTCTCACTCGATTTTGCCCATTCTTTTTAAATTTTAAATATGGCAGGAAATTATGCCACTGAGAATACTGATAAAACACACATGATGATGATGACTCACATCATTTGTATGGCGCCATTTATCTGTTTCAAAAACATTCAAAGGCTCGAGCACCTCCAATAAAGTTAGCATTTAAATGTCTGAAGGAAGATGTGGGTTTTGAGTGAAGCATTTCGGATTTTCAGATTTTCTCCATTCGTTTGTGTCACCCCCCCCCCCCCACCTGGAAGAAACACAATATTATGTGACGTAGGTGTGGTATGTAGATGTCATAAAAATATCATGAGTTTGGACGTAATGTCGAGTTTAACTCATTGAATATGTTTCGATTGAATAGGCCGCGTCCCTCTATGTGGTATATATCGTTACGGAGACATCCCCACAGCGAGAAATAAATTGAAGCATCTCGGGATCACTGATATGTACGAAATACCTTACCCTGATGAAGTTAGCTCAAATGATGGTGACTTGCAGTGGCTTGACCTTCTACGTGGATGCCTTCATGAAGGTGGCAGAACAATATCTGAGAAAGCGATGCGCTCATTGGTAGCAGAAATGACAAAGAAACTTGAGTCTAAGCAACAACGCATTGACACTTTGACAGAAACCGTAGGGGAGAAAGAGCGAAATGAGAAGACTCTGACACAGCAAGTTAAAGAGTTAAATAAAGGAAGAGAGGAAGACAGTGCAAGAGCTGAGAAAGAGAAGCGCTCATTGGCAGCAGAAATGACGAAGAAACTCGAGTCTAAGCAACATCATGTAGACACTTTGACAGAAATCGTAGGTGAGAAAGAGCGAGAAAAGACGACTCTAAGACAGCAAGTTCAGGAGCTAAAGAAAGGAAAGGAGGAAGACAGAGCAAGATCTGAGAAAGAGAAGCGCTCATTGGTAGCAGAAATGACGAAGAGACTCAAGTCTAAGCAACAACGCGTAGACACTTTGACAGAAACCGTAGGGGAGAAAGAGCGAAACGAGACAACTCTTAGACAACAAACTGAGGAACTTAAGAAAGGAAGAGAGGAAGACAGAGCAAGAGCTGAGAAGGACAAACGGTTAATAGAATTAAGCTGGAAGAAAAAGCATGACTTCAAGGAACAGCTTTTGGAGCAACTTGAGCGTGAGACCTGGAGACTGAGAACCAAAATTCAACTAGAAAGTGAGATACGATCAGCAGAGCAGAAGAATAAAGCAGATACACAACAATGGAGTTTCATTCCTTGGGTGACATCTGGAAAAAAAGCTCAGGGTGGTAAGACTCTATTTTTCCAATCTCATTTTCTTTTCAACTCCTAAAAAAGATACATTTGACTATATAACTCCCATTTCATTTCAGGCCACTTTTTAAAATAGTTATAATGTGAAGCTTATCAAGTCCAATATGGTCTTTATAGCTCTCTACCGTTATTTTGCTACTTTAAATATACCTAAACATCGAGCTTATCACAATCCATAATGGTCCCAAACCTTAATGTATATGTTTTTTGTTTGTTTTTGTTTTCATTATGCCGGAAATAACACCATTCCAGTACATTTTTCAGGGAAACTAGAGATATCTTATGCCTGTGCATTATTTACACTTTAGAGATTTAAATAAAAAAACACGTAGAGATACAGTGAACAATAAAGATCATTAACGAAAATTATCTTACATTCTTTTTTTTCTCATTCAAACGGACTTCATTCCGTCATGACAGACTCATCATCATTTGAGGATAATTCAAGCGGAGGACTGGGAAGGAGTGAAATATTACAAGCAGGGTGAGATGAAATATATTTACTGTTTAGATGAAAATGAACGCATTATTGATCTTATAGTGAGAAACTTACTGTCAATAACAGTTCAAATACGGCAGCTCTCATGTTCTATGATTCCAAAACATGTTTAGAAATGTCATGACCACCTGTGATTATGTATAAGCAGAAGTGAATACAATATTTCAACTCATTAACAAAAAATGATTATCTTAGCTGCATTCTTGTCTATGGTGATAAGAGTTAAAAGTAAAATCCTTTCATGAATTGATATCAATAATTTGAGCATGTTGAGTATGGTCTCATCACTGGAAGAACGTATTTTTCCCTTTCTATCTTCACCTAAGTAAAGATTTTACTTTACTTTTTAAGTGTATACGTCATACCAACGTTCTCTGACCACCCCAAGTTTGTCTTTTTTGTTTACCGTGTACCATTCTAGAGAAGAGCCCCCAGATGATGAGTTTGCAGGTATATTACAACAGATAGCTGACGATCTTTACGATGAAGCCAAGATCGACAGCCTTGCTGGTCAGATGGGAATCCTACATGGTGATATACAGAGAGCGCTCATGACCAATATGAGGTTCGGCCGTATTACCAGTGATGGAACTCGCCATATGCTGAAACAATGGAGAAGAGGTGTGTCCAGGGAAGATGAACGGATTGAGCTAAAGAAGGCACTGCAAGCTGCCAAGTTGGTCAACCTTGCAGACCTGTATCTCAGCGAAGGTAACGTATTTTTTCATTAAGAACAATTGTAATTTCGTAATAAGGACCCCATTCGACACTTCAGCAACATGCTGTTATATTTGGTGTACAATACAGACCATGTGTTTAAAGTCAGATTCGTAGTATTTTTTAAGCAAGTTAATTTCCTACATTTACACTGTTGATGTATTAATACTAAGGTGACGTAAGGCAGGGAAAATAAAGTAAAAGAGAGCTTAGGTTTTACTTTCAGTTAGCATTTTCCTCACCATAGCTGTACACACGAAAAAGCCAAACAGATGCTGACTAGGAACGTCAAAATCGTTTCTACAGCCTGGTTATCATAACAATAGACGGAATTTGAAATTCACTGCTATAAGTTCTACACAATCATGATAATTCCGATTCGATGTGTTTTGAGAAGAAGAACAAAAATTATTTTCTTTCTTGCTGCCGGTCAGGTGTAGAAGAAGAACAGATCGATGCTGAATATGCCAGCGAAGACGTCAATGATCAGCAGCCCTCTAATAGAGATGAAACCTCTCTAGAACAGGACCGGACCAAAGGACACACTGACATCCAGGTACTTCAGGAAGCTACAGCGAGCAGTAACAATACTCCTCGAGATGGGCATTCCGGAGACACGGCTACCAAAACCCAGGAAGACTTGACAGATGGAAGTAGGAGTCAACATCTTGAACAATCACCGGAGCGCAGTACAGAGGACTTGGATGAATCTGAATTAGAGTCCTCTAAAGAAGTTCATCCTGGAGATGATATGAACAACGTTAGTAGCATTCAACTTTCTGAACAATCGCCCAGCCATGAAATGCAAGTCCTACCTGAAGACCTGAAGACCTGTCTGAGATAGCCCCTCTGGTATCTTATGGTGGGAAAACCAACGAGGAAACCACCACCTTGGATACAAGTCATGTAGGCGGAATCATAAGAAACAAAGAAGATCTGGTTTCTCAACTCATTCTTACTGATACATCCCCGGAGAAAATATTGCTCCTTTTCCTCGTAAAGATAATAATGGATGTTTCCCAGAAAGCACTCAGTTTATAAGGAATCACTATAGAACCTTCATCGAGTAGGGTTTACTAACATTAGTTTAGCTAGCGACTTTTCAGGTTCAATACGCTGCCCTTCATCAGGGCGACTGGTTTTTAGCGCCAAATGATTGTTGACCCATGAACACGGTGACGTGGTCGAGGAACGTCGGCATGGTCGGCCTGATGAAGCGTCTGCGGACGGAAGACGTCATAAGCAACACAAAAATAATCTAGTTGACTTTTTAAAATATATATTATGTAATGCCTGGATGGTTGAAAAGAGTCATAGACAAAGCCTTCATAAACATTATCTGAACTTTATTGTTTCCAAACACGGCACATATAATTTCATTAATGTGAATCTCTTAAGATATTGCAAGAATAGCATGAAGAGCGTGATGTTTCTTAATGTAGAATTGAATTTTCTTTTTGGCAAGATACCTGGATATAGAAATTCGATCAATTCTAGTTATTGCAAGAGTTACTTATTATAACCGGAGCAATTTAAGTTATTGTTAGGTTTGATCAATCCTATAATATTAGTCATTTACATTTCACTGTACTTTTTAAAAGAAATCTTAATTCGAAACAGAATACTCGGATTATTTCAATTACAAAAGCTGCAACGATCGTTTGTATTTATGTATATACTGTCATTTAAATAGATCAGTAAATAAACGAATACGTGAAATAATAACGAAGTCAATGAATGAATAATGAATATGAAATAATAAATAACATAAAAAAAGAGTATAAACATTGATTGTATAATACACAACACTCTGTACATCAGTATATCTATCACAGTTTCTTTAGAGTTTTTGTTTGTCTCTGTTTTTAAATATTTTTCCACGTACGTGTATATCTAGACGTACTGAACGTATATGTATATTAAGGCTGGTTGGTTATTATTCGGGCCATTTACCATTTGTCCAACCTTGTCTATGCATATATAACCGGTTTCTGTTCTTGTATTCGGTCTCATACAATCTTGGTCTCTGATGCGCCTGGTATGCTTATCATTTTCCTGATGTCTTTAATAGAAATATTATTGATTTGTTCTACATTTGTCCGTGGCCATATACACAATTTATTGTCTGCTATGTATAAAATAGTTTTTGTCTAATGTAACGACCATGTGGTACGTAATAAATACGTTAATCTAAATTACGTAGTCGATGGCATTTAAACTACGTGGGAATTTGACGACTAGACCATATGGACAGTCTTTTATGGAACGGAATACAGGCAAATAGATGTTACACAATAAGGATACGGAAGATTAGATGGAGACAAATAGGAAATAGACGACCTATCTACTAAATGAAGAGCCTAAAATCGACTTAATGAGAGTTTTCAGTTGCGATAAAGGTGAAAATAATTTGTTAGCTTCCTTTAATATTTTGTTTCCGAAAATTCGGTATTCTGAAAACGTGAAGCGACGCGAAGACCAGATGGAACAGCGAGAATAGTATATCACAAAGAAAAAAAATGCATATTTCAATTTAAAATCGGAATTTAATTTGGAAATATGACAAGATATAGCTACAGAACTCGGACGAAAATGCCATGCCACATGTGCTTGCGTGTTCGTGTGTGTAAGTAATTCCATATATGGGTTGAGTATGTAACATTCAGCAAGCCTGATTGAGTCGATTTTCTCTCATGTTGGTGATGCTGTTAAACTAAAGTATACAAACGCTGTTTATAATCATGAATCACAATCAGCTCTCCATTTTTTTTCAGACAGTCGCTTGACCAGATCTCAAATATATCTGTACTTGTTTCTAATGTTTTGAATGCATGTAAAACTAAAAGAAAAGAAAAAACGGAAAAGAAAAGAGAGAGCAAAAAAGTTATGATATCATGAACTTTTTTTAAGAACAGGCAAACCATGTATGACGTGATTAGTGACATTGCATTGCTGTATATTTTTTGCTACATGTTTTCCTATGATACGTTAGGTGTTGAAGCTAATAATGTTCTTTGTAATGTTTGTGATTATAATTCTGATTTTATCCATGTTATATTTTCATATGTCATATTTCAGTTTATGTCGTTTGTCATAGTACCGTTATGGATATTCCGACCTTATACGTATTTCATCTGATCTACATGTATTAGTTTTCAGTTCCTAAAATGATATTTTCAAAATATTTAGGTTAAACAGAAAAATACACAGATTATAATAGAAGACTTAGATGTAGACATGAAAGATGTAGGCAAATACGGTAGAACATATAACCAGATGGCTTATTACTATAATAATCGCAAAAACTCATTTGGCTGTACATAGATGTGGTCACACACAGGGAATGCAAATATTAACTCTGAAAGGAACTTCCGTAAATTCTTGATATGTTAATAACAAACACTGAATAGATTAACATGTATTACTTTGCACTTGTTGCACCTATCGTTTAATAGTACTCTACAGAAATGCTCTTCACATCGAACGTAAATAAACAATAATCGCATGTACAGTATGCAGGCGTATCTGCGGGCAAAATATCTTATGGGCTTTAGCTGGCAGCCTAAATCAAGCAAATCTTGATTTCTGTGTATCCTCGAGTTGCAAATGAAGTTTGTTTTGCTGTATATAGCAATTGGCGAATTTAGATGAACCTAGAAATAATATTTGAAGTCATATGCAATTGTCATCATGTATATCGCAATGGCGCGCCATGGCGGGGAAAACTATGTAGATGATACTCTGAAAATTATGTAAGAAATAAAGTGACAAGACTTTTGATTTCATTTTGAACTTTACTTGAATTTGAATATGTAAGCTACTAATACAAATACTTTGTCTTCCTCAATATATCATTAATGTCTATTCTCTACCAGACCGTTGATCAGCTTAATATATATTTGCTTTCAAGAGAATCATAGAGTTTGCAAACAAAATGTTTAATAAATCATTGGAATATTCGTCTGGCATTGATATCTCTCCCATGTGTAAAGTGTTTTCGAAGGTTAATCAAGGTGCGGGGAGGGTATAATTATTATACAGTTATAATTTAATCCATTATTTTCAACGGGTGCAGTCATGTATTTAACACCGGAGGGACGGGAAATAGATTTCACGCTCGCCTTTAACATTGATTAGTGTAGATTATGCAGGTTAGAAGGGGGAGAGGGGATTACACTTCCATGATGATACATGTAACAGAGAGGAGCATTTGCGAGAGAGAGTTTTTGTGTGTATTGAAGAGAGAAGTATTTACAAAGAGGGAGAGGGAACTGGAGAGAGAAATGTAGAGAGATCTAAAGAGGGGGAGAGAGAGTACGGAAGAAAGAACTAAAGAGGGGAGAGAAAGGGAAAGATATTTAGGGAACATGAATGCGGACCCTCCGTTCCCGGAGTAGGTGAGGGGGCAGTGCTTTAATAATTATAAACAGTGGCCAAGCTACGTGCGAGCACAGAACACGTGCCCATAAATGGTGATTAGTGGTCAAAATGAAGAGAAGTAAACGGAGAATAAGAATGGGAGATAGAAAATCGGTAACGTGAACTGGTGAAATATGATGATACAACCCTTTCCACAGGCGATATTTACTGTATAATTCCTGTACTGAGTGGAAGGGAACGGGATATTAGAGAAAGAGAGGATAAGGAGGGGGCAGACAGCGACACAAAGAGAAGGGGGCATGGTAATAAAGAGAGAGAAAAGAGAAACAATTAAAGGTAAAGACCAGTTTTGGAAACGCCCCCTTCTCAAAAAAAATTGAAATGGAAGCTCTTATTACCAATCATGTGAAAGAATATGTTTTGACTAATACGTGATCATACAAATTTTGCCGGGAAACCGCCTACTGATTGACATATTTGGTAAATTATTATATATATCTGGACTGGATAGATATAGGGTAGTCCCATATACATGTTTCTGTGTACAGTGCTTGTAACTTTACCAAGACTGGGCCAAATTTCTTATCATTTTGATGATTCCAGAACCTTGAAGTACACACCAATACTTATATGCTAGATGGAAGAGCATTAGTTTACTGTTCTACACCTGTCCCCCTCCCCTATATGATACAAGTGCCCTCCCCCTCCCAATGCATGGACCCACCATACCCCAGTGTTTACGAATGTGCCGACCCATTGAATACACTGGTAAAAGAACTTACCCCTTTGGGCTCATCCTCACCAACACATACATTATGACATTTTATTCGCTCTACGTTCTGCACCTCAACGTGCCGACATGTAGAATCTTCGGAAAAAACGATCGCAATTATTTTCGAAAAGTCAACAGATCAACTCAAGAGTAGTTTTAGTACTCTATTGAATGCCCGATCGAAATCATGTTCTAACTACATGTACGTAATACCTCATTGTTATGTTCACACATTTAAATTGCTTTAGGTTGAATTTCCGAAAATAGTTGGTACCATGTTTGAATTATATGTTATTTGTTTAACAGTGAACGTGCCGACATAAAATCATCAGAAAGCACGCACGTACCTATTTTCGAAAAGTTAAGAGCAATTTCGGTACTCTATTGTATGCCCGATAGAAATCATGTTCTGATTACGTAATACCTCATAGTTATGTTCACACATTTCAATAGGTGACGAACAAGGCTAATTTAAATTGCCTTAAATTGATTTTACGAAAATAGTTGCTACCGTGTTTGAATTACATGTATATGTTATTTGTTTAACAGTGAACGTGCCGACATAGAATCTTCAGAAAGCACGCTCGTAAATATTTTCGAAAAGTCAACTGATCAAGGAAAGGGCAATTTAGTACTGTATTGTATGCCCGCTAGAAATCATGTTCTGATTACGTTTTTAATACCTCATTGTT